GTGCGGTCGCTTTTGCCGGTCTATCATCCTGCGCCTAGTTGTTCTACGGATTTCTCGCACGAACAGAACGAACCTGATCATAGTTATTGAGATGCTGATCACTTCCGTATGGTGAGGGTCAGTCGCTGTTAACAGACTCTAGCTTTCTGTTTCACAAAAATTGGGGGAAGCCGTCCCAGTACATCCAGAGACCACATGCATTGCCACTACATCCTAATAAATGTAACCTATCTCAAGGTTACTTTGAGAGTCAGAGGGAAATATGAAATTTATTGTAATTTGTCTCCATTAGAGATTTTGACGGAGAAATGGATCCAATTTGCATTAGTTATTTCTGTTCTTCATTAGATTGCTTTACATAAAGAGAATATGGCGTTTTGTTGATAGAAACAGCGTCGCCAAGGAAAATTAATTCTTTTTTTGCTATTTTTCACTGAAAATGCCTCGGATACGATACCCCATCGATTTGAACAATTTTTCGCAACTGAAAGGAATGACAAATCGGACATTATCAGTCCGCGATCATACGTTGAATGGACTGGATCATTTCTATGCAAATTGCGCTAAGCGACTAAACTATGTCTGATTTGATGTGCTCGTCATTGAGAAGCGATGAGACCCGTTTGGCGTCTTAATCACGTCAGAACTGTCTTAATGGCTACATTTTAAGTAATTGGTTTCTTTCATTAAAAAGCCATTGGTTTCCAACGAAAATATACCCCGGTGAAACAACAATACTAAAGCATGAATACATGCATTTCGTCATATGATGCGGAAGAAGACCTCATTTTGTCAAATTTAATTTCAGTATTTTTCTAATTGCCCTGGATAGAGTTCAAGAACAAAAAAAGTATTCTACAAGTCAATATACAAAGAAACACAATTACATTTCCCGCGATGATGGACTAAATGACATATGAAGTATGATTTATCAGAGAATCGACGGGATTCAGTAAGCCAAAGATATGTTAGTAGATGTTTATGGCACGGAAGAAGGTTACTGCCACATGATATTTAAAATCCTGTAGAACTAGTCGCATCTTGCATCATCTCATCAGGATCCGGCATTAGTGAGATTTCCCCTTTCGCAGTTTCTGCGACAGCCGTTTTGTGCAATCGGTTTTCCTGTCAGCATTCAATATTGGTTAATGTTGTGTATGAAGTTGCGGTTTTCTTCATATATATAGCCAATAACAGCAGGGCAATTGCTACGTAATACCTATGGAAAGTAACAGGCGATCCTCCAAAGCAGGAGGATTCAAATAGGAACGAATTAACTGCGGTACCACTGATTTTCTGTGCTTTCTGATGGTCAGTTTTTTTCTGCGATGATAGTTTCTTCATGTAGAAGTACTCTGAGAATAGCAGACTGCTGAAGTCGTGAAGTGGGTGGGATCGGGTAGCACCTTGCAATATTCTTTCAGCAAAGGAAGCTGAACTGCCATAAACAGTTTCGGCAGTGGTTTTGTTCACGAGACCGTATTGCAATCCTCCAGGTCTCGCGAATATACCAATAAATCATCTCAGCAGCTCCTGAGAAAGCTCAAAAATAGACTAGAGAGTCTTAAATCCTGACATTATACAGCACCTTGTAAATCGCTAGCTAAAATTAAAGGAACTCAAATCCAGCAAACTGTTAAGATAGAAGTGGGCTATATTCGCCTTGTTGATCGCGTAAAAATTACTGTGATACGTGATCGTGGTTCCGCGACTTCCGAGGAACAAAGATACATTCCACACACTTATTCATCTTAAGGACAAATCCGTGTGAGTTAGGTCAGTCGCTTCAATATTCTTCTATGGCTTCGCGGTTTCTGACAACTTCAACGACGGCGGTACTGTCGTACTCATATTTAAAGCACGTTCGCGATAATTCAAGTCCAAAGCTGCTGGTGTACAAGGTGTTGTTTTGCGGAGAGAAGCGAATCTCGGAGTACGCCGAATTTGTTAGAAATACCGAATCTGTTGTGAGTTGCTGCGCACACTCAGACAAGTATTCCGCCATTGTCCGTCGAATGTAGGGATTAATCCAAACATCAGAAAGGGACGAAAGTGACGTATACTTTGCGACGGTATCAAACGCCCACGAGAAGTCAAGAAGCATGATCTTAATTATTCTTTTGCACTGACTGGTTGAAGCTAACCGTCGAAACATTCATTTCAGATCAACGAAAATAGCCGCAATCAGTACATAGTCTTCTGTTGCAGCTGGGTTGTTTCTCTTCGGTACGGGGGACACCCTCGATGGGCGCCAATAGCATGGAAATGCCTACCAATGCAGTTGCGCACATTGCCCATTGTCCCTTTCAACTTCGTTAGACCCTTCCAGCTACAACTGCCTTGTTGGGGCGGTTGATGGGGGAGAGGCAGATGGTCGGTTTCTCGCTAACTTTGCTACCCGGCTTGATTCTTTGATGGCAGTCTAGACGGAATTGATTAAATTGATGTAAACCGCATCTGTGCCCGTGCTGACGTTTGCTTGCTGATTCATTAATGACAATTTCTCCAAGAAAGCGCACAGAACGAATCGTAGTTCTCTACAAAGCAGTGACATTTCACGTTCCATGATCAGCTCTTCTTCTGTGACATCGATCATAACTGTGCTTTGTCCCTGTACAGAGCGTGTTCTCAACCAGCATATCAGCCATTATTCGTTTCCTGTAATCAGTAAATGGTCGATTTAGTTACCTGCTGTTTGAACATCTCCATGTTCACTGTCGCTTTAGAGCTTTTGAATATTCTGTTCATGACGCGGAGGAGTTTCTTTCAGCGAAAGTTGTGAAGCGATAGCTAGGTTAATTTCTTCGCCTTTACCGCATCTGCTTATAAGCTTGCTCCTAACAGTAGTTCATTTTTCCTGCTGAAATCTCCTAAGACAATACTCTTCTACATTACGCCTTCCAAAATTCTCGAATTGCTCGATCTCTTTATTTTCAGTTCATTGAATTGGATTACTTCGTTCATCCTACGATTGTTATATGCTATCCCAGCTCAGTACTAATAGCAAATCCTTGTTCTCTTTATGAACCGACCGCCGACGATCTGAGATCGATTCTCAGAGGCCCTCTCCCTCCCATTTTGGCGCAGTTATTTCATTGCTCTATAAGTTCGGTAGCTCTTCAGACCTCATATATTTCGATGACTCTTCGTTCGTCTATTCTCCGTTTCTATGCTGTAGACTTTGATGCATTTGTCCGTTAATGACGTTCATGCATCATGGCTGGCCACGACGATCTTGACGACGTTCCGGGTCCGTTGACTCATTGGATTCTATTGTCTACCAGGTTGTAGATGCTGCTCAGGTGGATACGGTAGTTTGACCTATTTTTCCGATTCTCGTTTATCGCTTAGAGCTTTCGGTGAGTAATTGTCCAACAGTTCAGTCGGTGTGCCAACTGTCCTGGTCTCTCGCCAGTGTCTCCTCGCCTTCATCCAGACCAAATAATTCAGAGAAGTGGAGAGCCTGATGAGGTCTTGGTCGAGGAAAAATGTCACTGGTGAGTGGCGGGCAGGTGTTCGCCTCAACCAATGCAGCATACAAAGTACTGAAGGAAATGATCCAACATTTGTAGTTCTAGGTACAGCTATAGAGTAGCAACTGTTAACTAGATATGGGTCATTTTCTTAGATATTGAAGATGAACGGACTTGAAGTTGGCATGTACGGTCCGTTATGACTTTATTACTACCTCGCATTTTCTTTTGCATCAGCGGATACTTATTTGCTGCTGTCTATCAAACTTTCTCTAAGTGCTATTTCCTTACATACACGACTACATATACGGCTGCTCAAGTGTCACTTGCTACTAACTTACCGTAACTGCTGACAGCTAGTAAACTTGTCTGATCGTAAAATGATAAATATGCAGTACTTCTTAGCAGTAATTTATCGGGACTACCTATAACACCGCTAATTTTAATTTTGGCACATCGAGATGCATATCAGCAAGTGGTCCAAGCTTGCAATAAAGGAAATACGGATTTTTTTCTACTTTAACATTCCTTCACTATAAGAACTACTGAGCTCCATCGTCAGTGATCGCACGACGATGTCAAAATGTACAAAAATTAGAGGAAGTTCTACTTTAAGCTTAATTGAATGACACAATGCCTATTTGCCAATATTTTTAACTTTTAGCTAACGAATTG